GCCACTCACCCTGTGACCACAGTGCAGTCACATTTCTGAGACTCCCTCACTTCTTGCCCAACCGTTAGCACTGGCGGCAGCTCTTCCTTAGCAACCTCTCTTCCCTGAGCCACAGGCACCTCTGGCTGCCAGGGTGGTGCAGGGCCTGTTTCACTGCTGGGACCCCATGGGTTGGGGGCCACAGGTGTGTTGTCGGTCAGTGTCCAGGGAAAAGCTTGGGGAGGGGGGGTCTCCTCCAGACCTAAACCCAGGCACCTCTGGGGGTACAGCCAAACCTGGGACCCTTTGATGGACATGTCCTTGGGACAAGATGGGACCCAGGTCAGCAGAGTGGTCTCTAGCCTTGGCAATGGGGTTGACTCCCCAGATTCCCTTCTTCTAGGCTGGGGCCTCCTGCCTGATGGATGCCTCGTGCTCCTCTCTTTTTTTTTTTCTTTTTCAGACAGGGTATCTCTCTGTCACCCAGGCTGGAGTGCAGTGGCGTGATCATAGCTCACAGCAACCTCAAACTCTTGGACTCAAGTGATCCTCCTGCCTCAGCCTCCTGAGTTAGCTGGGACTACAAGCATGTGTCACCACTTGGCTAATTTTTTTTTTGCAGAGATGGGGTCTTGCTATGTTGCCCAGGCTAGTCTCAAACACTTGGCCCCAAGGAAATCTCCTGCCTCAGTCTTCCAAAGTGCTGGGATTACGGGCATGAGTCACTGCGCTCAGCCTCATGCTCCTCTCTTTATAGGAGACCATGGCAGGAGAGAGAGCCTGACCCCACAGCGCCGCACTGTGCCAAAGCTGAGGGGGTGCAGGGACCTCTCCTGGACAATGTGTCCCAACTCCAGCATCTCCTACCTGCAACACACTTCTTAAGATGTTTGGATACTATCTGTACCCAATAGTCTTTCTTACGTCAATTCAGTTTTTACAAGCCTAAAATTTATTTTTAAAAGGAAAAGATATCATTACTCTAGGTGGATAATTAGTATCACTTGCCGTGAATACAACACAATCACAAAACTAAATATTATTAAAACAATGAGGTCAGCTCCCGAGGGCAGTGGTTTGGGAGTTATCTCTGTATTCCCAGCACACAGAATGGCACCTGGCACATAATAGGACCTTGAAATACATTCGTTGAGTGCAGGGCTGAGATGAGCGAATGCAGAAAGGCATGAGTGATCCTGATATGAATGCTTGGGGAGGGCGCTGAGCCTCTCTGTTAAAAAGGGGAAAAGCAAATGTTAGAGAGGCGTGAAAGCCGCGCCAACCCCAAACGGAGACAGCCTTTGTGACATATTCAGGACTGACTGAAAGGGATTTGAAAAAGGCAGAACTTCCTCACCACGTGATCCAGAATTCTTCAGTGCCATGTCTGGATGCTGTCTCGAGGCGTCTGAGCCCCACCCATCACCCTGCTAGGGGCACAGACCCGGGGACCTGAAGCTCGAGGTGGCACGAGTGAGTGGCAGGGCCAGGTGGGATGTGCTGAAGGTCCCCCACACATTCAGTATGAGGGATGGGCCCCCCAAGGAGACCCCGCTGTGTCCAGGAGAGCTTCCCAGCAGGGCTGCCTCTGTGTGCCCACACACGCATGTGACACGCTACATGACATGAGTGTAGGAACAGACATCAGCCCTTTCAGCCACACGTGGGTCCACATCCGAGCCAGCCTTCAGGGCTTCCTGCTTCACCTTCCCCAGGCGGAGGCCTTGCTGAGGACTGGATGCCTAAGGTGGGCCTCCCGCCACCCTGTACTGTGCCAGACAGGGCCGTCATCACAGACTCGCTGTCACTGCAGCCTGGTGCGTGGGGTTTGGGTCCCGCCTGGCAGGAGCCTGTGGGGGTGGCTGTCACATCGGCGCCTTCGTCAGAGACCTGGCACAGGAAACCTGACGTCATCGCTGACTCACTCCCAGCCAGGGCTGGGGGTGGCCGTCACTCTTCATACCTGCCATGGCCTGAGCATTGCAGCCAAGCCACTTGCCCCCTCCCCCACCTTGTGGCATCTGCTTCGGGGGGTGGGTTTGGGAGGAGGAAGGAAAACCTGCGCAGCCTCAGCACAGCACCGTGAGCTTCGCAATTGTGGAAGGGAAACCACTTTGCAGGGGGCAGGGAGAGACTGGGAGTCCCAAAGGCAGGAGGCGAGTGATGCTTAAGCAGCCGTCAAAATAGATGGTTACAAAAAGAATAACACACAGAATCATCATTTGTTCCAGTTGAGTCTCACAAGTTTTTAATTAAAAAAAATGCTGAGCCCCAAACTTACTTGACAGTGTCTGCTCTGTAAGGGCCAGGCCAGGAAAAAACAAACGCCACACGGAGAAAGCTCTGAGTGTGTCATCCCCTCCCCAGCTAGTGGTGCGTTCTGGGGCCCTCCTTCCAGGGCCCGCAGCCTAAAGAGACCCCTCCCCGCCCTGCCCTCCACCCCTGTGCCCAAAGCTCTGCCCTTGTCTGCCGTGGCTGCCAAGGGTGAGCTCTGGCGCTCGGGGGTCTTTGAGGGGGAGACAAGTGGAGAGCGGACATCTACACCATGACTCACCCGCAGCAGCACCCGAGGTTGGGGGATCTTTAGTCAGAGCTAAGGTGGGGGAGGGACGTGGGTCTGCGAGTCTCTCTCCCTGTCTTCTTACCCCAGCCCGGGGCTTTCACCCAGTTATCGGGGGTGGGGGTTTCCCCGGTCCGGGAGCAGGGGAAGAAGGCTAAGGGAAGCCCCTCCCGCATGGCTAAGGCAGGCCTCCTTGAGCCCGAAAAGCACAGCTCCAAGGCTAATGGCATCGAAGGGATGACATTTGCGCAGCCACGTCAGGCAGAAATCACTGGTCCTGGCCAGAGTTCTAGGCAGGACCCCAGGGACTGTGCCGTTCGAGCAAACCGTCAGCAATGCTCTCCCACCTCCATGCAGAACTTCCCAGCAAGGTACACGCCGTTCTCCAGAAGGGGGGCGCATGGGAGTTGGGGTCTGAGGCCCCCTTCATGGCTGAGCTGATTTCACTCCTGAGTCAGAGATCCCAGCTGCCCAGGGTCCTTGTTCCTTTTTCCCACAGAGCTGGAAGGCTGTGGCTCCCAGCACAGCAGGTGACGCAGGCCCCACCGGTCAGCAAGACTGGATCTGACTATTCTTCTGCAAGCTCTGTAATTTGTCCCTGGAATCAGCCATTAAGTCATTTGCCGGGCTGATGCCAAGGATAAGAGCTCATATCAACCTCTGGGATCTGCGGCCCAGACTCCCCGGCTCTGTTGTGGGCTTTGCTGCCTCAGCCTCCAGACCAGCGTGGTAGGGAGGGACTGAGCCTCGCCACAGCTGCCCAGCCAGCAGCACAGCCTTGTAGCCTCGGAGCCAGCGTGGCCGAGAGCTGGTCTCTGATGTGCTCCCACCTTACAGATGGGGACACTGAGGCACAAGAGGGTGATGCAGCCCCCGGAATCTTTGGAGTCCTTGGGGTTTCTCTCCCCTACATCCTGTCCCCCAGCACACACAAGCTCCGTGCTCTGTCTCACACAGTGGGACTGCATACATACCGCGCGCCAATGCACACAGTCAGGCACGTCAGCACACACCGAGAGGAATTCAGAGGGCGGGGGTCTACCCAAGTCCTAGCTGTAGCCCTGCCAGATACTCTGGATACAGGGGTCTGCAAGGGAGCTGGAAGGGTCTTACAAAGGGTCTTCCAGGGGATGGGGGCCTGGAAGTTTGGGCTGTGAAATCCCATGCAGCTGGGGGCGGGTGGGGGCAGCTCCAGCTCAAGGACACTATCCCCACCCACCTCACCTTCTCTGCTTCAGTGTTGGGGAGTTTGGCTGCCAACAATTCTTGCCCCCAGCCCAGGGGCCCAGACCCCCCCACGCACACCTGGGCCTCACCACATCCGGCACCAGGGCTGGTAGCTGGTGGGAGGGCAGAATGGATGTGGATTACCCAGCTCCCCATTCTCAGGGCCCAGTGCTAGTCCTGGAGCCCTGCCCCCCAGGGGGAGGGTTTGCAGGTCTGATGTGGTGGGGGTTGGGTGGGGGGCAGATTCAGTTAGTGCTTCTCCCTCTTCTCCAGGCTGAGGCCTCTGAAATTCCCACAGGCGAGGCCCTGGGAGAGCCCGGCAGCGTCAGCAGAGTTCCCCTTCAAAGTGTGCCTGTAACATGGGGAACTGCTTCTCTCTGGGCCCCGGGGGGGTTTTCCCTGGGCCTGGGGGGAAGTTGTGCCCCACTCATAACTGGAAACTCATCACAGGCCGCTGCTTTCCCCCGCCCCCCAAAGACCCCAGACCCTTCTCATTCCCCATATGCCAAAGCCCAGGGGCTTGGGCCTATGTTCTGGCCTAGCCTGGCCACTAACCTGGGCAAGACCCTGAGTGCTGGTGTCATCCACGCACGGCGAGGGGAGGAGGAGGGGAGATAAAGTCCCTCCTCCCCAAGGTCTCTAAGTAGATGAGAAAGGGCAATCTCAGCAGGCTTCCCCCGCACC